TCAGGTACTTTGCTGCGTCTTGCTGGTGGAGCTTATTTTAAATGGCTTCATCATTAAATTAACGTTAAACAAGCGTGCCTTTCCTTGCCTGCCTACCCGTTAAGTGAAAATCTCAAAGATTTTGTGGTGTTTGTTTCGCGTTAATGTGCAATAAAATTTGTTATGTGCTTTGTCTTGTGAATCATTAAAGGAAACCCACTACTAAATTGGGCTCCTATCATGCAATTCATTTTACTTCAAATTGTATCTCCTACTTTTCTATAATCAAAATACCCGTATTTATAGCATATTATAAAACCATAAAAATATATTGCACTCTCTCTCCAAAGGTCAGTAGATTTAAAAACTGCTAACAAAAGACTGATTCATCATATATAACATATTAAGCTTTTAATTTTACGTTGTTTGCTTTCTTTTCAAGGCAGGTATTAATAAAGGGTTAAAATGTTTAAATCTCATTACTTATTTTATTGTTCATAAACAAAAAGAAATAGAGAAGCATGGTTCCGGTTACAGTACCAAAATTTCTATAGCCTTATTGCCACAGAGAAGAAAGCAATTCAATAGCGAGTAAACATATATAGCCAAAATAAGAACAAAATATATTGCACAAATGAAAAAAAAATTTGGATGCACAGAAAAAACTTGATCATCCTATAAGTACAAATTGCGGAACCTTTAATATTGAAATATTCTTATATTCATAGCATTGGTCTCTGCTAGCAATAGTAGTTTTGTTAACACTGAATACTGAGATAAGATTGGTTTATAGTCTCTGCATACACAAACTCTTCAACCAATCTATATAATCCATCAAACTTATCCGCAAGTTTCAACTATGAAACTTTTATCATAGAACTCTTCTTATATAGAATTGGTCTCTGCCTCCAATATTGGATCCGTTAAAGCTGAACATTGAGATGAGATTGATTTATAATTTCTACACAAACTAATCCAAATAATCCGCATAATCCATCAAACTTATCCGCAAGTTTCAACTATGAAACTTTTATCATAGAAATCTTCTTATATAGAATTGGTCTCTGCTACCAATATTGGATCCGTTAAAGCTGAACATTGAGATGATATTGCTTTATGGTTTCTACACAAACTTATCAGAAATGCAGACTGAAAAAAATATCAAAGTAACTGTCTGACATTGAAATTGATATTTTGTATGTTCTATACCCGAAATAGAACATAATTAAATGAAATTATACAGGCATATATTTACTATTTGTAGATAAAATTAATGTACTCGTAAGTGCGGAATACTAACTAAAAGAGTACCAATCAGACATCCACAAAGAGAGTACAGTTCGGATCAAATATTCGTTGTTGCACAGGTTGCTGACAAATGCTTAAAACCTTATATAGACCCATTACTGGTCAATGTGACAGAAGATATAACAAAAAGTACAAATCTTAGTACATGATAAGTAGACTAAAACCAATTATCGAAAGTAATTATAGAAAACTGTACTACAAGCTTAGATTATCTACGGTATGCAGTCTCAAGATCACTCCTACTTTCTTGCAATTTCAATAGCGGAAGTCATTAAAATAATTATTTCTAAATTATTTTTGAGTTCTCAAACCAACTATATAATGGTGGTGATGTAATTAACATTATTGTTTAATTTTTAACTCAATGTTTCAGTACAATATATATGGTGGGACGTTGGGACAGCGCATCTTTTGTTAATGCAAGCATCTCATTTAGCTTGAGGTTTCCTGCCAAGTCGTCACCAACCCAATGGTGTCCCAAGACAGTCTTCCTCCTACTTGCCAGTGCTGGACATTGGTACAATATATGCACCGCTGTCTAGACATAGTCAGCAAGTGTCTTCCTCAGCAAGAGTTATCTTTTTGAGGTGATACTTGAAGTTGCCATGTCCAGTAATTAGTGAGGTCAGCCAGCTTAGAGTGCTCCGCGAATAACTAAGCACTTTTCTGGCCCACGGTTTAGGTAACATGAGTTTGATCTGTCTACAAGTACTCAACTCTCTCCATCTATTAAAATGAAGTGAGATTATCCACTTATAGACATAGGCTGCCGTCATGCTGTACCCCAATGGTATTCTGGGCTCCGGGCCACAGAAATTATGGCTTGATCCTTGCTTTGCAATTTCATATGCCTTCTCGTTTTGCTCAATACCGATGTGTCCTTTAACCCACATGATCGTCATCTCTCTTTCAGTACAATATTTCCAACTAGTCATATATATAAACCCCGAAATCAAAGAGTAGCTATTAAGGTTCTTAAATATCATCAACTGATATCAAAACCGGTTAAGCAGTGCTTAAAAAAACTGAACATAGTGATTTAAAATAATAAAATATGGATTCTATAAGAAATTTTGGGGTCGAAGACAATGAAAGGGCGGATGTGCCAGCAAAGAAAGAAGCGGGATAGTCTTTTATGGTCCAAGCACCTTTCTTTGGCATAGTAAAGAGTAACATTTCTCTATTTATTTGAAAAGAAGAAGAAAAACAAAAAAGATTATACTGGGAAAACTATCAGGTCTACCACATTATTATTCCCTTTCAAGAACCTAAAACCTAAGTTGATATAAGAAATGTCTAAACTCAATAAAACTAATTTGAGAATCACAACATGAATTCAAGCAGGACATTGTAAGTTGATCCACCACTTAAATAAACTGAGAATTGTCTCCGATGGAATTTGGAGGTTCTGTAAAGAGCAGTAGACGACAGCTACGCATGTACTGGTGAGTTGTTATGCTCAAATACTTAAACAAAAGAAGGTTTTAGATGCATACTCAACATCTGATGATGAAATATCAGATCTCTACACAGATCTCTGAAAACTGAAATATTTAAAAATATAAATATACTAATATTTATTGATTAGATTAAATTTAATCAATCACTCTGTTCAAGTAAGGGTATGCAATATCTTCTCTATATATTGATATTAAAATAAATAACATGCTTTGAAAATTTAGGATTAACATGTAGTAAAAAAACATTAAGCACTTGTTTTCATTTCAAATTAAATAAACAAATTGTTTATATATTTACTAATTCCTAATCCTATTAAGATTAAGACTAATTAAATACGATTAAATACTTTTGAAATATTATTGTACAAATTATTTTAGTTGTTTCTTTAACACTATGGATTTTAATGATATTATTTGTTTTATATATATTTATAAATTTGATATTAACAACAACCCTTACTATTTGAAATAAGTATATAATTATTTTGATAATATACTATACATACAATACGTAATATACGCATTGCCCAATTCCCAATACGTAAATTAATAATAAATATATGCTATCTATTTTCAACAACCATTCAAATTGCAATTTTCTTCTTTTTAAAAACAAAAAATTATTTTTCTCGAAAATAGGATTTTTCTCACATCATCTGTAAGTCAGTGATGTGTAAAACTGACAACTTTTAAAGCGAAAATATCGCCTTGGGTCAATGCACATTTATTTATTTTAAATTGATGGGATATTCAAGATAATTGTTTTCCTTTTCGACTTAAAAGAAAAAATATATTTTGAAAAGACTTTCTCCACATTAACGCAATTGGTGGCAACTCATTTTCCTCGTATTTAGTTTAGAAGGGTCTAACCATGGAAAATGAAGTGTGAATCACGGGGTTGACTTGTTAAGATTATTGTTTAAAATGACTTCTTCGTTTGAGTCAATTGAGGTTGTTATTTGTTTGTTTACTAATATTATTCTTATTGTGTTTTATATCAATTTTTTAATTTTTTATTTCCCTTTCGATACTTTTTACATTTAATCTTATTTTAATCTTAAAAGTTCTTTCTAAACGTATAACACAAATAACTTCTTAATATATTTTTAAACATAATGCTGATAAGAAAAAACAATATCCATTTCTCTTCCTACACTACTAATGCTATGAAATATGTAAACTTATTTATGTGAGATTATCAAAATGTACTTAGGAAAAATTAATAAACGGATTAAAAATCAAAAAGGCGTTACCATTTATTAAATTTAGCGAATTCGTATATCTTACTTTCTTACTCAGAATGGTTTTGATGAAAATGGATCTGTAGATGTACATAAGTTACGGGTACCTCTGACATAGGAACCTTCATCCGATATCTATTAGTAGGCATTGTTATATAATATACTACTACAATCCAAAATTTATATAAAACTTTTGTCAATATCTGCATTTGTCCAATAGTTACGTGTTATATGAACAACAAAAAGTTGATTTATCAATTTCTTTTGATCAAATAAGTTGCATTAACTAAAATGTATTAAATAAAGTTCACGTAATGAGATTTCTGCTGGAGAAACGTTGAAAATCCTACAGAAGGCCTTCGGTGCCCAGGTTATGTCATAAGTGATGCAAACGATTCAAAGAAAGCAGAGTTAGCATTTAAGAAAAATATGTCATCGGACGATCAACAACATCTCGTCAAAGAGATTTGGGGCTCAAAAATTGCTGATTAACAACTGACACTTTGTTGATACTGTTGAAATATATTTTAGATCAGTCGAGATTGTTTTAAAGACGTTATGCGCCTGAAAAGGATAAAATAATGTTTGATATCAAAAACACTCAACTTTTTTTTGGAAAATCTCTACGTTGAATCTGTCAAATATTGGTTTCTCACTGCAAACTATTCATATGATCCGGAAACAACAAGCGAAACCCCGCAAAAAGATAAGTTTAGATCAAACAGTCACGTCAAAGTCGTTCAAAAATTAACGTCATACTAAAAATTTTCTTGGATTATCGTGGTTTGTGACTTCGGGCTAATCCCTAAACACAAGACACCACTCCTGGGATACCATTTTTACAGGATTGAGGATTCGATTTTATCGATTGTTGTGCGCTAAGAAGAACATTTCAAAAATCGACTTTAACATACGTTTATAAAATAAAGAAATGAAAAAAAAAGAAAAAAAATCATTTTTTAATATATTTTGATCAATTTATTTAAATTGTTTAAATAATCTTTAATTGCTATTCCCCTTTCATTGGATTCAACCAAGATATAGAAAATTTTTTGCAAATCCACTGTCCACTATGGTCGACAGTCGAACTAAAAAAAATTATTTGCAATATATACTATATAAAAATTAATAACTTTACCTACTGAAACCAAAAATTCAATATAAATAAATTAATTCAGACTTTTGAATAAATATTTTCGGCACGATTCTATGGAATGACGCTTTAGGTAAAGTAGTTTTGAGAATGGTTTGGTACATTGATGACACACGTGTTTCCAGTCATGGTGACCTCTCATTCGTTGATGAGCCCTCAAATTTGAGCTTCAAACATTAACACAAAAAAAAATTATAATGTTAATATTAAATAGTTTCAAATAATTGATACTAAGTAAAAAAATTATTCAACTAAAAAAATTTTATATTAAAATGTTTAAAATCAATGCAAAATTAAAATTGATTTGCATTAATTTTTGTTCAATTTTCATTACTTCAATTGAAAGCTGTTATAACTTAAAGTAAATGCAAATTTTTACCGATCACTGTAGCGTCTTGCGCAGGTATCTTCAGGACACCTAAACGGTTTTTCCCCAGTATGCATTCTAATATGCCCAAGTAAAACCCAATTACGACTAAACTGCTTAAAACATTTTGGACATTTATAGACACCATTTTCTTTTATTGGCTCATATTCTGTGTCCACCCATCTTTTTGGTTTTATTACTTTTACAATCTTCTTTTTAGGGACATTTTTTAGCTTTTCAAGAATCAGAGCGTTGAGATTATTTGCAGATCTAGCTCTGTCATTTATGGAAACCTTGCCAGCTGAATTCATCTTTCCTTTTGTCACTGCAGCAAATGAACAATTAATACAAATGATATCTGAATGAACTTCTATAAATATATTTATTACTTACCAACTCCTGTGAGTTTAGAAGCTTCTAATGATTCATTATCCGAACTATCTTCACTCACATCAGTAGTCTCAGAATCGGAAGAATTTGTTCCCATTTTTTTGCATTTTTTATTCCATAGTAATTTCATTCTATTACGTCTAGTTTCATAGTTTATCTGATCAAATGAACTATCATGTTTAGATTCATCTTGAAATTCAATTGTGTTTTCTTCCAAATTGAAATTAATTTTATAATAGTTTTTTTCTTTTTTATATAACTGAAATATGAACTTACCCTTTTTTGTCTCAAATGCAGGGTCTAACTCTTTAAAACCTGTTTTGAGTACTGAGTGCGTATGAATATTTACTTCCTTTTTGTCATCCGTTAACTCTTTTAAGGACTTCAAGGAGAAATATTTTAAAAACTCTGTTTGGATTGACATATTCGTAAAAGTTTTAGATTGAAATAAATTATAATAAATTCTAAGAAACTTAAGATAAATAAATTTGATTAAAGAAGTTTTATTAGTATTATTTTACGGAATTACAAAAGCTACTAATTATTTCTATTTCACTAAAGAAATGTAAAATTTAATAATTAAATTTTTTTTTTAATCAAAATTAAAATCCAAGATAACTTGATTTTTAAGAGGTCATTTGCTTATATGTAGTATAACTCAATTTGTGTTTAAAAGCTACTAAATTTAGTAGTATTCGCCCTTGTACTTCACTCAATACAAGGTAGTAGTAACTTCACTACAAAAAGTAGAAATGGAATTCTTATATGGTTTCTGAAAATTACAAGTAGTATTCAAAATAACTTAATTTTGTAACTTATTTACTGATCTCCAATATATCTTAATTTGTATGTTAAATAATATTATAATACAATAAATAGAATATTAAACAGACTTTTAATATTTATTTTAACGAAAGAAACTAAATTCTTAATATAAACTATTGTTTTCAAGAGAGAGGTGTTTTGAATAGTAGTAAATTACAACAACAAAAATTATTTTTAATTAGTTAAAGTTTTGTCTAATCTTTAAATATTGCCAAATACCATTTTTGAGAATTATTTCTTATATATAATTATTCGTGAAAAAATCTTTTAAACTGCAACTACCAAGGAACACGTGTCCTGCCAAATTTCAAGCTCAGAGTCGGTGTTCATTAACCAACTGACCCAAAGCCATACTTAACTTGTGTATTCGAACTTAGAGTTTTGATATTTTGCTGTGAAAGTTTATTAACAAATTCACTTGCTGTGTTATATTAGAACGAAATCATGAACCAGTTGTAGAATAATTAATGATTGAGTAAGAATCAATGAATGATTATTACTCAATAATCAATATTTTTATTTTTAATTGTTAAATTTCAACACTATTCTTTTGTAGAGGCATTATTATATATAAAATTCAAATAATTAAAAATTTAATAATTTTATTGTTATAAGCAGAATAAGAAATTAATTTTATTAGGCAATAAAGACATTCTAACGTTTTCATAATAAAGCTTTGGACTTGAGATGTATACTTATAATATAAGTATAATTTTAAATGCACTGCTTCATTTTATCAACTTTCATCTCTCAAATTCTTGATTTAGATCATATATTGTACCAATAAATACCTTAAAACATTGTATTTAGTTTTTTCTTCAGATTGAACATTTCGTTTCTAATGCTATGTTTAGATTTTTATGCTTAACTCGACAAATATGTGTCATTTTTCATACAAAATTCATATAAAATCCATCTAAAAGTATACTAAAGAGGTTCAATAAGTCTAAGTGTAAACATAGTCTAAGCCTGATATGCTTGAAATGTTAATCTTATTATAACTAGAAATAGCAATAACTACCCTTACGACTAACTAAAAAACATTGCCAACACCTTCATTTCATTAATTTTTTATGTACTTGAAACATCTAAAACTCTTTCTAATTAATTAATAAATAATTCTATTTAATTTTTAATGTATTTTAGATAAACTTCTTAAAGTGAAACTCTATAAGTGACTTTAATTAAAATGTAATATAATACAAGGCACTGCAAATATATCGCCGATTGTTTATTTAAAAATGCACTTTTCATCCGAAATGAACTAATCCAAGCCGGAGTAGTGAAGCATTTAATTGGATGCTTCAATGGGAGGATTATGACTGATAAGTTTTAAAATTTCCAACAAATGAATTTTACACTTTATTAAAAATACTTGTATGAATGCTTGTTCATAATAAAATCGGCTCTGTATCTCAATTTATTGTTGCTTTCTAACTCTCTTCGACTACGTAATTATGCAGCAAACTGTTAAATGCATCAAAGCTGCTGAAAATTGAAATAAGAGGAGTGTAATGTAACTGAATAGAATGTGCAATGTTGCATAAAAGCGTACTAAATGCTATTAAATGCGAAACAATGTGACGTATTTAAGTACGCATTTCGGAACAAAATCACTCATTTCAACACGAACGCACTCCGCATAATACACAATAACCAAATGAACAATTCCATTCAAATTGCGATGCATTATAACTGATATTAACACTACTGGGAACCAAATGAATATGTTCACTACAAATATTTTAATTACTTACTCTGCTGAATCTAGAAATGCAGTGAAAAATTATTTCATATTTGCACATTCACTCATTATGGATAAAGTTTCCTAATTTTAAATTAAAAGAAAGATATATGAATAATTTTTACATTTTTTTCGCATTTAATATTTCATTTTTGAATTTCATAAGCTATATGCTTTCACAAACTACACTTTACTGCGAGTTCTCATAGAAGTTCATGGACCTAGAAATAGATAGAACACTCACAAACTGCAAAAAGCGGTTTCAAACCTTTCGTAGGTGAAACAATTATAGGACCAGTAAAAAAAAATAGTATGATAAGTGACGTGTTTAACTTGTTATTGAAATAACTCGTTTTTCCAAATAATGCTCGCCTGTCATACGTGCTGGAATAATACTAGTTGATTATTCTGCATAATCTATCTTGAGTTCTTTATCGTTAGGCATATGTGCTAGATGAACGCCGAAGTAAACAAATTCAGTATACTGAAGAGTTGTTTATAGATATTTAGACACCATCAGATCAGCAATGATCTGAAATGATGAAGCTGATTAAAATCGTTAGATTAGGTTAGGTTATACCGGTAATGCTAATGACACTTAGGCCTTGTAACAAATACAAAAATATTTTTGTGTTATTGCTGGCATCAGGCAATTATTTGACCAGTTCATTCAGATGTTTCGAATGATTACCGAAGCAACTCCCCTGACCAACTTGTCTGAGAAATGTTGTTCAGCGATGTGTTCCAGTCAAAAATCATGTTGGGTGGAAAGTTGACTGAAGTCATGGCCTTTAAGCTAAGCTAAACTAAATTAAGCTACTTTCTTAACTGCCTGATAGTACATATATATATATGCCAATTTAATATATTATTCACTTACAGACAAGATATAGATTGCTTATAGCGATCACGACCGACTGAAAAACACTGCAGTGATCAGGCAGCCTATAGTTTATGGATTTATTCAGTGCCTCTGTCAAAACTTTTCTGGTTAAACTCTACCTTCCTACAAGGTTTTCACTACAAGGAATCAAGCGACAGCTAAGTATCTCTAGGTGAAAAATCGACATCAAATTTCCTGTTGAAATGAGAGAGAATGGGAGAGATGTGATTAACATTTCTTAGATTAAGACTGAAGAGATTAAGAGTGGAACTATGACCATAATCACCAGCCCTCCACTAAAACAGTAGGTACTACATGATTTTCACTCATATAAAACACAATATATTACTAATGTATTTGTAAATAAGACATACTTAAATCAAACTCAAGTAAATAAGTAACAAGATAGTTCGTTTTTTCTTCGACACACACGATAAATTTTTATTTAGAGAAAATATACATAATAGATATTTTAGATTATGATTTACTTTTACTTATTATTGTTCTTTCGACACAAGAGTTTCAACAATTAAAATTTACAAATTCTTGAATGTCTTTTGTCTGTATGAAAACACACCAAACTATTTCTGAACACACAATTTTAAACCACTTCATTTAAGGTTCAGGAACTTCTAGTCTATCCTTATTATATCTTTAGTAGTTTTTCTTCATTATTAATTCTAAGAAACTTCTTATCGTTACAGCAAAGCACTGACATAACTGTTACATAAAAACTTAAAATAGACTTTTGGAAAATAGTTTCAGTACATCGCATAAAGGCAGCATTTCCATATTTTTCGCATTTTCATTTCTGACTAAAATATTAAACGATTTACTGTATTTTCACATATACAATTTGCCTATCATACCCAACATGTCGAAATTTGTATTTTATCAACATTTGAATGACTTTCTACATGAGAAAACAGTAACAATTATGTTAGTTTTGAGCTTCTCAAAAATCTCTAAAGTAGAAAGTCGCCTGAGAATATTGCATAGCAAAATTGCAACAAATCCTGCTCCAGCACAGAAATGCAGAAAGTCTTACAAAATTGCATTCTTTATTCCCATTTCAACCGGTGAAACACTACTAATTTCATTGTTATATGATTTCTTATATACAAATTTGGATATCTTTAACACTCACATGAAATTCAATTATTCATTGTTTAATTTAGGAATGAGGTTGCCTCAGTGCTCTATATTATATTCACTGCGAACATACCTGTCTTCTATGAAGTAATATAAAAAAATTCTACACAAAATCGTTGGTGGTTATGAATATCATACTTTTTGAAAAAAGCTGTATGAACTATACCTTGACAGTAACACAGTCAAGGGAATAAAGACCCAGCGGTTATACCGACTAGAAAATATCATGACAATGGAATATGATGCTCCAGCTAGAAAAACGTTCGAAACCATGAAAGAAATTTTCCTTCGAACGAATATTTATAATCAGGCCTATTCTGAATCGCATGGGAATGAGAGTTTGTTCCCTGTTCCCAACTCTCCTATTCTAAATAAATTGGGAATGGGAGTTTTGTTCCCTGTTTCCAATTCTCCTATTCTGAATCGCCTGGGAATGGGAGTTTTTCCTAATTTTGCACAAATTCTCTCCCTACCAAATTGTTGGGGACACAAGTTAAAAAAGTATTAAAAATGGTTTAATTTAATATAAAAGTAACTGAAAATGATCAGATTTTTGAATATATTTTAATAAAATTATTATTATAATAAAATTATTACAATAAATTTAATATTTTCAAAGTTTTATTTTTTGATTAGTTTTCCGAATATATTTTAATAAATTTAATATAACAAAATTTTCATTTAATATATTTTATTAAAATTATTATTTTAATAAAAGTATAACAAATTTGAAATTTAAATTTTTATTTATTTACATTTTAATATGAAAGCGTTGAATAAGAGTAATAATCAGGCCTATTCTGAATACTCCCAGCGAACAAAACTCCCTATTCCCACGATGTTCCCAATCACACAACTCCCTTATTCTGAATTGCCTGGGAGACAGCAGTTCTGTAAA